TCATAGACAATGATATGAGGTTCGTATATTTACCTTCAGCTCTTCCCAGGACTTCCAAGATATTGGGCGTTGTCTAAAGCTCTCATAATCAGAGGTGATCCACCCTAAGATCGTGTCTGTCGAACCTCGTCCCTATCATTGGCACAGGACCGTGACGGGGGGGGGGGGGATGAAAAAGTGGGTTCATGATTCTTAATTTCCTCTCCAAAACATACACATCCTGCAGGCTTGTCCTCCAACAGGCTAAAACAGTCGTGTCATCGCCAGAGACAGCTTCCGATCCTCGCAGTGACGCCCTGGATGGGGCATCCAGGAACCCGCGCTAATTATTCGCCTCCGGATTCACAGGTGGCCGATCCCGACACAGAAAACTGGGGTAACAGTGGCTAACTACGCTAGAATATTCTGCACTTCTATCAGGATGAAATCGAAAGTTCGTGTTGGGATACTGAGGATTGCTGTCAATATTTTGCTGTAACCTATTCGTAAATAATAAGGATGCATGTCATCAGAAGGAATTAGGGACGGATTGGGACTTTAAACTGCAGCGACAGCCGCGGGGCCTTGGGAAGTTTTCACGGGCGAGATGCGGACATAACTCTTCCAGCACCTTGATTGCCAGGGGCGGGTTTCTGCTCCTGCTGGTGGTGGTGGCATCACTTTGTAGGTGTTGCATCATCTCAAGGACACCATCACTCCTTTAAACCTCCCTCCTCCTCCCCCCCCCCACACTCCCCAACATTACCTTAAACAGTTCTTATACAAGTTGCCTTGCAAAATTGTATTTCACACCTGCAAAATATCATGAAAACCACCTGTGCATTCGAACTCCATTTCGAGGATTTCAACCAAACTTTGGTTGATTTACTCAGTTGGAAATTAAAAAAAAATTAATTACTTGAGGACGTTCTTGTATAATTAATTTCAGCACATTTCCGGAAATCTTTGAACCATTGTGTTCAAAGGTATTACACACAGTAATGCTGGAGCTGCTGGAGATCACACAAGGAGGAGGAGGAGGGAGCACAAGAGGAAGGATCCCTCTGAATGTTCTCACAATATATCATTGTCCTCATGGATGATGTTAATTACGCTCTTAATATTAGGTCCCTAGACCTCGTTATGCGTTAATGTAATGCGTAGAGTTCTGCCACAGTAGAAAATCATGTTGGTATCGGTTACAATAGATGAAAGTGATTTATTTGTGTCAACTTAGAGAGATCATTACAATAATGACTCGTCTAAACAGGCATACAGCATAAGTCAAAGTGAAACTTTAAATTTTATATATAAAGTGATTAAAATTTATTATATATATTTAGTTTAGCCAATCATATAAATTCAAATTTATAAATGTTTGTACAAACATAGTTGGGTTAGTTTACACAAAGCTATTGTATTTTGACCTGAGAGCGTCATAATAATAAGTAATATCTGTAATTATATACTTTTACTGATTTAGATTTAGAAGCTACAGAAGCTACAGATTTAGAAGCTTTTGTAATCAGTGATTTCAAAATCATGACAGATATCAAATTCAGAAACAGAATATATGTTGGTAGCAACTTATACAGATCGTTACGTTAATGACTGAATTAATCGGAAGTACATCAGTCTAAATCAAACATTACATTTTTAACAAAGTAAATAACATTAAGCTTACAGCTGGAAAAATATATATTTGAAAAATAATGTAGTGTGCTAATGGGACGGGAAGACATATTGGCACAATTTATATCACAAATGATAAGATATTTAGAAACAGAAGTAATATAAACTAATCATACCAGAAAGTTATAGAAATGTACACACCCTCGGCATTCTTCCTCAACAGATTCTGCGGCTGTCCGGAATCAAACTCACTCCAAGCACACAGCTGATGTAACATAGATCTGACCTCAGCAGGACACAAAATGCCTCTCAATATACCATCTCTCTGACAATAGTTTCTACACGATTTCAAATATGCAGCTGGGGATATTTGAAATCGTGTAGAAACTTTCAAATATCCTTCAAATATTCCTGCTTTCTCTGCTAGCTAGTTGCTTTAATTGATCATGTAAACCTTCTACACCTTTACATGTGTCGAATTGTCTCAAGTTGTACTTCTTAACAATAAAGTTGAAATTTTTGAAAAGTTTGTGGTTGCTTGGGGAAAAAAAAGAGAGTTGACCGAGTTTACTGGATTGGTGTTGCCATTCAGACTAAAGGATATCATTTGTTTGTGAAATTTGTCTTCAGGTGAGGGTGTGGACACCAGCCAAGTAAAGACTTGCAATGAGTGCGAGGATGGACACCCCCAAGATACGTCCTCAACATTTTCCTCATACACAATTAAGCTTGCTGAGATCATCTTTATGTAGGTCCCATAGTTCACCTTCATACAAGCGTTGACATTTTTATTTAACCTTATTTTCGACCAGATATTAAGATTTACCATATTCATTCCTAATGGCATTTGTATTGACTTTCAGATCTATAATAGCATCAGCAAAAGTGACAAGTAGTACGCCTCTTTGAGGATGTAGTACGCCCTAGATGGTTTTCAGAATACTTTACCGGAATCTTTCTGCCTAGTAATTGTACATTTGGATCTATATAAAACGAATCCTGTGAATTAAAGGGAAATATCCTAAATCTTTCATATATTTGTATAAAGTTTTTCGTAACATCTTTTAATCGGTGCGAGTGGAAGTCGGTCATCAGCATCTTAGAAAACATTGGCCTTAGTACTGCCTGTGGGGCAACCAGGTGTACTGGTTCTTTCAACATTGGATCACGATTGATAGCAAACAACATAGGACAAAATACAGCATGTTGTAGAGAGAGAGAGAGAGAGAGAGAGAGAGAGAGAGAGAGAGAGAGAGAGAGAGAGAGAGAGAGAGAGAGAGAGAGAGAGAGAGAGAGACAGAGACAGAGACAGAGAGAGAGAGAGACAGAGAGAGAGAGAGAGAGAGAGAGAGAGAGAGAGAGAGAGAGAGAGAGAGACCAGGTCACAAACAGAGAATGTGTCGGGTCAGGAAACAAAGGCCAACAGCTGCAAGGACGACATAAATAACAGTGATTGAGGGGTGTTTGACACCTCATTAACAAGGAGGGTGATTGACAGGGAAGGGAGCGGAACGGAAGTGCAGAAATGGGAAGGAAGAAAGGAAAGGAAATGGAGTAGTGGACCATGGGCGAGTTGCATAGAAGGGGACAGGCGGAAGGGGTGGATTGAGGAGTGAAGGAACTAGGAAGGTGGATACAAGAGGACCAGGAAGCTCAAAACGATAGAGTGAGAGTGAATCACTCACTCTCCTCTCTCTCTCTCTCTCTTCCCTTCTCCCCCTCCTCTCTTGCGTCGCCCCAAGAGTAATTATACAGTAATTACCACTATTACAGATAATGACTAGTATCCTTGCTCTGTAGCTTCTTAATAGAGGTTGATACCTTCAGTATGATCCTGCTCTGATGAAATATTGCAAAGGAGCTTAATCCTGGGACGATATTTTGGAAATTTGTTTTCCACCAGAGTCTAAACCTCTCTTCCTGGTGGAGGTTGTTTGGCCTGTAAGCCTGCAGGTTGTTGACGAGTGGTGTGTGATGTACAGTCAGTCAGGACCTGACCTGCCTCAACACTGAAGTTGTCCTGTATGGGTGAGTATCCTGCGTGACCTCTAGTGAACCCTCCATATTTAGGGGGACCTTTACGTCCCTACAGGTGTGTGTGGGGGAGGATGGGGTTTATATGAAGGTGTGTGGGGAATGTTTGTGTATATATGGAGGCTGAGGAGTATATATATGCGTGTTGGGATGGGATGGTTTGGGTGCTTGTACCAGCAGCCTAGCATCGTCTGTAAGGGAGTGTGTGATGATTTTACTCACCTAATTGTGCTTTCGGGGGTTGAGCTTTGGCTCTTTGGTCCCGCCTCTCAACTGTCAATCAACTGGTGTACAGATTCCTGTGCCTATTGGGCTCTATCATATCTACATTTGAAACTGTGTATGGAGTCAGTCTCCACCACATCACTGCCTAGTGCATTCCATTTATTAACTACTCTGACACTGAAAATATTCTTTCTAACGTCTCTGTAGCTCATCTGGGTACTAAGTTTCCACCTGTGTCCCCTTGTTCGTGTCCCACCCGTGCTGAAGAGTTTGTCTTTGTCCACCCGGTCGGTGGGAGCCGGTCGGCCGAGCGGACAGCACACTGGACTTGTGATCCTGTGGTCCTGGGTTCGATCCCAGGTGCCGGCAAGAAACCATGGGCAGAGTTTCTTTCACCCTATGCTCCTGTTACCTGGCAGTAAAATAGGTACCTGGGTGTTAGTCAGCTGTCACGGGCTGCTTCCTGGGGGTGGAGGCCTGGTCGAGGACCAGGCCGCGGGGACACTAAAACCCCAAAATCATCTCAAGATAACCTCAAGATAACCCTGTCAATTCCCCTGAGAATTTTGTATGTGGTTATCATGTCTCCCCTTACTCTTCTGTTTTCCAGGGACGTGAGGTTCAGGGGCCAGATTCACGAAAGCACTTACGAACGTGTACATCTTTCCTCAATCTTTGACGGCTTTGGTTACATTTATTAAACAGTTTACAAGCATGAAAACTTCCCATTCAACTGTTGTTATTGTTATAAACAGTCTCCTGGTGCTTCGGAGCTCATTAACTGTTTAATAATTGGAAACAAAGCCGCCAAAGATTGAGAAAAGATGTACAGGTTCGTAAGTGCTTGCGTAAATGCTTTCTTGAATCTGGCCCCCAGCTCCTTAAAAAGATGTACAGGTTCGTAAGTGCTTGCGTAAGTGCTTTCGTGAATCTGGCCCCAGCTCCTTAAGCCTTTCCTCGTAACACTCGTAACTCGTTCCTCGTAACACACACACTCGTGTGTGTGTGTGTGTGTGTGTGTGTGTGTGTGTGTGTGTGTGTGTGTGTGTGTGTAGTGTGGAGGCGGGGACACGGACTAGGGAGGGCCCGTGTGTGTGTGTAGTGTGGAGGCGCGCACACAGCATCCCTCCAACAGTCTGCGGTAAGCCCTCGCCCAGGTTGGAGGCGACGGTCTGGGTCGCTTCTCCACCTAGTTGTGTCGTGTGCTGGCGTCAGCGTCGTGTTGACGTCTGACCCCTTACCCCGCCAAACCCTCCCAGCTAGCAAAACAAAATCCTGGAATCACGTTTAATCAACGTTTTCAACATTTATTATGTGACACAGTTTAGCTATCTGGGAGGAGTTGAACCATCGCGGCTTTACAACAAAATTTGTTCTCCGTGCTCTTAGTAATAAAGTTATTTTATATCGAGTGTGGAACTTCTATAATTATATATATATATTACGCCACTAACGAACGCACGAACTATGAAACAAATGTATTCGCACGAATGGAGCCTGACTGGAGGTTTCCTGTTGTGATTATACAGGTGAGTTCGAATAAAAATAGAGTTTTTTTTGGTAATTACCAAATTTTATAACCGGTTTCTAGATAATTATGTCTAGATTTTTCTGTCACTCTCTTTGATGGCATAATATATTAACTGGGCAAATAAAAGAAGGTGGAAAAAAGGATAATGAAAGGAGATGAAGGTGGTGGGGAGGGTGGGGGTGAGGGGGGGGGGTGGCAGGGTGTGAAAGTGATAGGGGATGGCAGACAGAACCAAAAAGTGGTGGTGGGGGGGTGGAGAAGTGTAGTGGGGTTGGTGGGGGTGGAGAAGTATAGTGGGGTTGGTGGGGGTGGCGTTGTTGTCTCACCAGACCAACCTGAAAAGTTCCCCTATAACATGCTCTCCTCAACCACCTCAGCCATGATGGCCACTCACTACCACTCGACGAACCAATCTTAACATATATTCATACGCTCCAAAAAAAATATAACCTTTCCAAAATACACTACATATATTTTTTTTTGCAATATTTCCAGTGGAAAATTAAAGTTTCAGTGTCAAAATATTTTGATGCATCGATGAGGGTTTGCTGCTGGAATTTTGAGATTTATCAAAGCATATTTGTATCAAATTGACTTAGATTTTCACGAAGAATGCTTTGGAATCTCGTCAGTTAAGGCAGAAAACACAACATATAAACCGTGTACGATATTACATCTGTCGGCCTTGTGGTTTATGCACCAAAGTGGTTTATATTGTATAACTCTGGCTCTCACCAGCGGCACCAGTGCCAGGACTAGGCTCACGGAGCGTCAGTAATGTCAGAGTGCCAGCCTTGGCACTCTCCAGGCTCCCAGCCTCCGCCGTCTTCTTCTTCTTGAGGTTATCTTGAGATGATTTCGGGGCTTAGTGTCCCCGCGGCCCGGTCCTCGACCAGGCCTCCACCCCCCAGGAAGCAGCCCGTGACAGCTGACTAACACCCAGGTACCTATTTTACTGCTAGGTAACAGGTAACAGCCTTCACCGAATTATTTGATTAACTGAGACTTTATCTCTGTCTGTGACCGTAGACTTAAATTGTTCACGTCCTAAAGTACGTGTACAGTGTACACCTGTGACAGTGTCACAGGTGTACACCTGTGGGAGGGTCACAGTGTACACCTGTGGGAGGGTCACAGTGTACACCTGTGGGAGGGTCACAGTGTACACCTGTGGGAGGGTCACAGTGTACACACACCTGTGGAAAGAGTTACAGTGTAGAGTGTACACACACCTGAGGTCTGTAGCAGAAGACAGAGTCGACTGCACCTCACTGTATTACACGATGTGTTGCTCTACAGAGTGCAGCATTAGACTGGACTGAGAGCCCCCATATATAGATATGTTGACACTTACTCTAGGGGTTAAGTGTTCAGGAGTATCGAGCGACCCCCATCCTGCGGGGACGTGCAAATATTGACCATGGGACTGCCTGCCATCATGGCACTCTCCCACTGTGGCACTCAGGCTCTCTCCCGTTGTTGCACAGATGATTTGTTCTCCTGTGGCACACAGGCTCTATCCTGCTGAGCGAGAGAGAGAGAGAGAGAGAGAGAGAGAGAGAGAGAGAGAGAGAGAGAGAGAGAGAGAGAGAGAGAGAGAGAGAGGAAGAGAGAGAGAGAGAGAAGAGAGAGCTTATGGGAAGGAAATATAATGAACAAGCAGAAGAGCAAGAGATAATTCATAATAATTCATTGTACCGAGGGGACAGGAAGCCAGAATGTATTCATACACGTTTTGGCTTTTATCAAGGTCAAACCCCTCCCCCCTCCCCCCTCCCAAGGTCGAATTACTGACCCCCGCCCAGGTGCTCCCCCCCCCCCTACAACAAGCTGACTAACTCCTGAGTACCTACTAACTACCAGGTAAACAGAGGCATTAGGCGAAAGAAAATGTGCCCAACCATTTCTGTCCCGCCCGGGGGATTCTAACCCGGAATTCTCGATTGTGCGTCGAGAACGAATCCCACTGGACTACCGGGACCCATAAAAAAGCTGGAGAGAGGGCAAAGAGGAGAGAGGGACCTGAGGAGGAGGTCAGTAGGGTAGATGGGGACAAAATGACAGATGCAAATGTTATGTTGACCTTTCGGTATTGTGTGAGTGTGTGAGAGAGAGAGTGAGAGGCGCTGCAATAATCGTGCATGGATTGCCTGGGGGACCTCACTGGATGCAATATATTGCAAATATCCCATGATTATCATATGGAGGATAATATATATGCATTACACACAGAGATCACAATAACGTGATGCATCAAATGAACAAATCCACAAGGGCCGTGACGAGGACTCGAACCTGCGTCCGGGAGCATCCCAGACACTGCCTTCGTAGCTCAGTCGATTAAGGCAGTGTCTGGGATACTCCCGGACACAGGTTCGAATCCTCGTCACGGCCCTTGTAGATTTGTTCATATATATGCATTCATTCACACTAGAGTATCTGTTTTATATTGGAATAGTTCACTCAGCATCTTTCATGTCTTATTTTCCTAACAGCTTTTTGACTGACAAGACGAACGTAACGATAGTTTGGTACACCATAGAGGTTACTCCTCCTCTCCTGAGTACCCCGTGTGTAAACTACCAGCAGGAACTGGGGTCATGATGAACAAATGCACAAGGGCCGTGACGAGGATTCGAACCTGCGTCCGAGAGCATCCCAGCATCCCAGTCGATTAAGGCAGCGTCTGGGATGCTCTCGGACGCAGGTTCGAATCCTCGTCACGGCCCTTGTGGATTTGTTCTTATTTGAACGATTCTGGTGATACTGAGGATCTCCTCATAATGCGGTCAAAGTTTGCCAATGGTGGCAAGCTGGTATAATTACCAGTCCCTGTATGACTATAACCATTGTCCGTGATCGAGATTTGTATATTACATAGCCGGGTACATATTACTGGGGAGCCGGTGGCTGAGCTGACAGAACACTGGACGCGTGATCCTGTGGTCCCGGGTTCGATCCCAGGCGTCGGCGAGAAACAATGGGCAGAGTTTCTCTCACCCTGATGCTCCTGTTACCTAACAGTAAATAGGTACCTGGGAGTTAGTCAGTTGTCACGGGCTGCTTCCTGGGGGTGGAGGCCTGGTCGAAGGACCGGGCCGCGGGGAACACTAAGCCCCGAAATCATCTCAAGATAACCTCAAGATAGCCTTGACACATTTCTGTAACCCCCCCCCCACCCCTTCATATAGAATATCAAAACTGATCTGAGGCCAAATTCACGAAGCAGTTACGCAAGCACTTACGAACCTGTACATCTTTTCTCAATCTTTGGCGGCTTTATTTACAATTATTAAACAGTTAATGAGCTCCGAAGCACCAGGAGGCTGTTTATAACAATAACAACAGTTGATTGGCAAGTTTTCATGCTTGTAAACTGTTTAATAAATGTAAACAAAGCCGTCAAAGATTGAGGAAAGATGTACACGTTCGTAAGTACTTGCGTAACTGTTTCGTGAATCTGGCCCCCTAGTCATTAGACCCTTCAGGTCTGCTCGAATGAGGTTCGTGGAGCTTCGCAATTACTTTATCCAGAGACAGGAATTCTGAACTGAAACTTGAATGCAAATATATAAATACGAGTGATAATGCTGCGTATAAAATTGCTTTAAATGTTAATACAAATTCGTTTAGAGTTTCACGCCACATTGGTGAAGCGTTACTGATATTCATTCTTTTATTGTCTATGGGTTTGACTGTGTGAGTCTGGGATTCTATGGGACTTAGTCTGTGGGTCTGTGGGTCTATATCTGTGAGTCTGAGTGTGAGGTCTGGGAGTCTGAGTGTGTGGGGTCTGTGAGTCTGAGTGTGTGAGGTCTGGGAGTCTGAGTGTGTGGGGTCTGTGAGTCGGAGTGTGTGGGGTCTGTGAATCTGAGTGTGCGGGGTCTTTGAGTCTGAGTGTGTGGGGTCTGGGAGTCTGAGTGTGTGAGGTCTGTGAGTCTGAGTGTGTGAGGTCTGTGAGTCTGAGTGTGTGGGGTCTGTGAGTCTGAGTGTGTGAGGTCTGTGAGTTTGAGTGTGTGGGGTCTGTGAGTCTGAGTGTGTGAGGTCTGGGAGTCTGAGTGTGAGGGGTCTGTGAGTCTGAGTGTGTGAGGTCTGTGAGTCTGAGTGTGTGAGGTCTGTGAGTCTGAGTGTGTGAGGTCTGTGAGTTTGAGTGTGTGGGGTCTGTGAGTCTGAGTGTGTGAGGTCTGGGAGTCTGAGTGTGAGGGGTCTGTGAGTCTGAGTGTGTGAGGTCCGTGAGTCTGAGTGTGTGGGGTCTGTGAGTCTGAGTGTGTGAGGTCTGTGAGTCTGAGTGTGTGAGGTCTGTGAGTCTGAGTGTGTGGGGTCTGTGAGTCTGAGTGTGTGAGGTCTGTGAGTCTGAGTGTGTGAGGTCTGTGAGTCTGAGTGTGTGAGGTCTGTGAGTCTGAGTGTGTGGGGTCTGTGAGTCTGAGTGTGTGGGGTCTGTGAGTCTGAGGTGTGGAGGTCCGTGAGTCTGAGTGTGTGGGGTCTGTGAGTCTGAGTGTGTGAGGTCTGTGAGTCTGAGTGTGTGAGGTCTGTGAGTCTGAGTGTGTGAGGTCTGTGAGTCTGAGTGTGTGAGGTCTGTGAGTCTGAGTGTGTGAGGTCTGTGAGTCTGAGTGTGTGAGGTCTGTGAGTCTGAGTGTGTGGGGTCTGTGAGTCTGAGTGTGTGAGGTCTGTGAGTCTGAGTGTGTGGGGTCTGTGAGTCTGAGTGTGTGAGGTCTGTGAGTCTGAGTGTGTGAGGTCTGTGAGTCTGAGTGTGTGAGGTCTGTGAGTCTGAGTGTGTGAGGTCTGTGAGTCTGAGTGTGTGGGGTCTGGGAGTCTGAGTGTGTGGGGTCTGTGAGTCTGAGTGTGTGAGGTCTGTGAGTCTGAGTGTGTGGGGTCTGGGAGTCTGAGTGTGTGGGGTCTGTGAGTCTGAGTGTGTGGGGTCTGTGAGTCTGAGTGTGTGGGGTCTGTGAGTCTGAGTGTGTGGGAGTCTGTGAGTCTGAGTGTGTGGGGTCTGTGAATCTGAGTGTGTGGGGTCTGGGAGTCTGAGTGTGCGGGGGTCTGTGAGTCTGAGTGTGTGAGGTCTGTGAGTCTGAGTGTGTGGGGTCTGTGAGTCTGAGTGTGTGAGGTCTGTGAGTCTGAGTGTGTGAGGTCTGGGAGTCTGAGTGTGCGGGGTCTGTGAATCTGTCATCACATAGCCTGGCCAACTAGGCCAGGCTGTTCCTTTACTATTAGGTGTTCGTCTTATATATATTCGCTTATTCATAAGAGTTTGTGGTGGTGTTTATAAAAAGATGATTGATAATCTTATGTTAATCTGAAGCCTTCTACGTCTGGAGTACAGTGACCTGTGTCTCTTCAAGTGTTCCACGACCAGTGAGTACTCACCTAGTTGTACTCACCTAGTTGTGTTTGCGGGGGTTGAGCTCTGGCTCTTTGGTCCCGCCTCTCAACCGTCAATCAACAGGTGTACAGATTCCTGAGCCTATCGGGCTCTGTCATATCTACACTTGAAACTGTACACAAGTGTGACCCCTGTTGTGTTCCAGCTCCAGTGTTCCACCTCCCGTAACCCGTGTTCCACCTCCTATGATCTATACCTGTTTTCTGTGCTCCAGTAATTGTCAAAATGTTATTTTTCCTTCTGCAGGCTGAAGAGCAGGACAAGAGCCCCGCGACCTCCGGAAGCCCCACTCGCGCGGAAAACATCCACCTCCTGCCCCCTGTTGATCGCTCAGGTGAATTAACGCGTTAAAAACTTCAGCGTGGCTAGGCTTCCCTTCCTCTGTGTCGCTAAGTTACCTCCAGCGGTAAACATGGCCAGATACAGTGACTATCTCAACTAGAAATTGCACTGAACTAGCGAATTAGATCCACATCTTTTGTGGTGGACGTTTTTCGATCAAGAGTGACGTTGTTTTCGTTTAACCGGAGCAGTGTTGAGGCCGGAAGGTGCTCTGGTGATTGGATGGACTCGGATATAACGGAGGAGGTCGGTAACGTTCGGATGGGTGAGGCCGGACGATACACTTCTGTTAAATCCTATTCGAGTAAGTGAGACCACTGGTGCTGCTTCTTGCCCTTCCGGAAGACGAATTCCTGGACCAGAGAGGCTCTCACTCAGCGACCCGAGGTGTCCGTCTAGCTGTGTACCCAAGAGATACAAGCCTACGTATCTAGATATCTTTTAAGGAAGCTTTTCGTAGGAACTGTATGCTTTCCTCAAACGGACGGCGTCTTATATAGAGAGAGGTTTTCTTAAAATCATATAAACATCTTTAGATAAATCCGTACAGTTCATTCGCATGTTCACCATAAGAGTTGCTCGATAGACACAGTCAGTATTGCTTCCATTAACAATTTCGGAAACATCATCCGTCTAAAGATGTCACTCGCTCCTTCCACAATAACTTCATGAGCCGTTGCACTCGAGGGTCAATCCACAGACTATCTAGGAACTCCATATGCTTCATGATTCGAGAACTGATCCACTATGTTTGAACGCAACTCATTTCAACTTGGTCACCTGCTGAAGGAGGACTCGGGCTCTGGAGGAGCTGACGCTACCTGGTCACTCTCAAGATACACATCTTCCAGGGTTTCCGGACATTAAAGTTGAGGAGACAAGCCACTACGGACGCGTATTGGCAGCCGCCATGAGGAGAAACCTTACCGAGATGACATTAAACACCAGCGAAGCCTCGGAGCGTATGAGGCCTCACTCATCATACCGCCAGGACGTCCCGGTTCAGAATTCAGCGCTGCTTAAGATCTCTTTAGAGGGATCCTACACCTCTGAACAGGACCTCGCCTCCTCGCGAGGCGGCCTCGAGGAGTCCTACCTCCCCCTAGACGTCCTGGCGGAGAGGGTTAACGAGACGCTGGCGAACGTGTCGTCAGGGCCGCTCAACGAGACGGAGGGGGTGATGGAGGGCCTGGTGAAGGAGATGCCGCAGGAGATGATGTTCAACACCTCGCACATCATCACCATCAGCGCCTACTCCTGCCTCATGGTGCTCTCCGCCCTCGGCAACATCTCCGTCCTCAGGTCCATTGCTGGGTAAGTCTGCCGCTGAGCCCTGTACTATCTGGGGCCCTAATACAGTACAATAATGCAGTATACTATAGGCCTAGGAATATTTAAGTCTGAATATATTACCTAGGATTATATTACCAAATTGTCCTATCCAATTGTCCATTATCTCAATAGTACGACAGTCTACATAGTTATCTTATCTTGAGATGATTTCGGGGCTTTTTAGTGTCCCCGCGGCCCGGTCCTCGACCAGGCCTCCACCCCCAGGAAGCAGCCCGTGGCAGCTGACTAACACCCAGGTACCTATTTTACTGCTAGGTAACAGGGGCGTAACATAACATTTACGAAAAAGTACTATATACACAGAAGGGTGGATTGAATAATGTTAACATGTTCAGGTCACGGGCCACACGTCACTAGATGCTGACGAGGCACCGTAGAACTATACACTCCCAGATTAGACTACACGTCTGAGGGGTGAAGCCTTCCCCTCCCTCTAACCCTGACTCCCCTTCCAACAAAGGGAGCTCGCCACCCCTTACCCCCTCCCTCATGTCATGGGGGGGGGTTGCATATTGAATGGGGAGCAGCGTCGTATCCAACAGAGGCCGCTTGTAAAGATTCTTATCCGGTTAATTATCAACTTGTTCATTAGGCGGTCACTGTTAAATAATGCCGCGTCCTTAACTCCTGCCTCCCTCACCCATTCTCTCTCTCTCTCTTTCTCTCTCTCTCTCTCTCTCTCTCTCTCTCTCTCTCTCTCTCTCTCTCTCTCTCTCTCTCTCTCTCTCTATTGTCATACTGGCTTAGTGCCTTCATCAGTACTCGTCTGCTACCCTGGCTTCCTAGGTTCGAACCCTTGTGTGATCATTTGGGTGTTGTAAATATATATTATATACATATACAGTATACTATATGTAATGGACACATGGTTACATGATAAAAACAAGAGATGCTTCTTCACCCCAGTTATAAATTCATGGAACCGCCTACCCGCCAAAGCTGTACATGCCAAAACGCTGCTGAATTTCTAAATCCAGCTCGACAGGACAAATGGAGAGACGTTTGACAAGCCGCTGGCTTCCTGTCCTCGTCGAGGCCACTATAATTGCCACTAGTTAGGGACTCTCAGATAAATTCAGGTATAACACGAAATTGATTCAACCATACACCATTATAATATAAGGCATTACATCAAAAGTATTTGATTTTCAGAGAATTATACAGTAGCATATAAGCTGTCAATGGAAGAGCAGGTAGAGAGATTGATTTCACCTTTAAAAAGAAAATGTTATACCAAACGCTTTCGAACAGTAGTGTGTGTGTGTCCTCAAAGACGTTTGATAATAGACTGACCTAAATAGTTCTATCTACTCCCAGAAAGGTCTGGTGTGGGGAAACCGGATGCTCAGTAGATGGAAATAGATCATAAAATTGATCAAACACCTACACCCATTTAGAGGCAGAAGCAAAGGGTGTTAAAACGGTAGATTAAAGTTAAAGTGAAGTTTAGTAAAGTATTAAGAGGGGACTTTATTAAAATGTCATTAAAAAATCAATAAAAAAACATTTACAATTCATTCCATAACGAATAATACCAATAATGCTATAGTTGGTGGTTGAAATTATTAGAAAATGGCCGAAGCGCTTCTTTACAAAAAAAACTGCTTAACAATTAGCAGGCTAACTTAGATATTTTGAAACATCAGTTACGCCTAGGATTACAAATTCTCTTCATAACATTTCAGAGGATACAAAAAGACACTATTTTACATGACAGGGACGAAACCTAACATAACTGCTGAGACAAAAGCAGAAGTTGTACAGGGCAGACTGACCGAAACCTAACTTATGGACAATCTTAGCCGCAAGCCATGAGTCAATTTGAAAATGGTGAAAGATCTGTGGGAATAGAATGAAGAGGAGGCCACTTACTGCACCCCCAAGAGGGAAATGATCCGAGAGTTAACACACCCGGAACTATAACACTAACAGCACATCTCGACATAATAACCCCAGCAACATGCGCCGTATATGGGGGCAACGCCTTGACAACCTTCAGAAATTTAAACAAAAAGAGAGTGTTTGAAAGCTATATATATATATATATATATATATATATATATATATATATATATATATATTATATATATATATATATATATATATATATATGTCGTACCTATAGCCATAATGCACTTCTCGGCCTACTATGCAAGGCCCGATTTGCCTAATAAGCCAAGTTTTCCTGAATAATTAAATTTTCTCTAATTTTTTTCTTATGAAATGATAAAGCTACCCATTTCATTATGTATGAGGTAATTTTTTTTTATCGGAGTTAAAAATAACGTAGATATATAACCGAACCTAACCAACCCTACCTAACCAACTAACCTAACCTATCTTATAGGTTAGGTTAGGTTAGGTGGGCCGAAAGAAAAAGGTTAGGTTAGGTTAGGTTAGGTAGGTTAGGTAGTCGAAAAACAATTAATTCATGAAAACTTGGCTTATTAGGTAAATTGGGCCTTGCATAGTAGGCTGAGAAGTGTGTTCTGGCTACTAGGTACGACATATATATATATATATATATATATATATATATATATATATATATATATATATATATATATATTTAATATATATATATATAACTTACATGAGACTCACCTTTGTGTGTGTTTAGTCCTAACCTGGAACTCCCTTCCCCTCCTCCCTCCTGGAAAAAACAACAGAATATAAACAGAAAAGTTAAAGATGTATGAAAAAAACTAGTTTTTGAGATGAGTGAAGGGAAGCAGACTTCACCACACTGGAGGAATTTACCTGAATTTACCTGAGGGCCACTAACATACTGGTGGCCTTGACGAGGACACGAAGCCAGCGGCTTGTCAGGGGAAAGAGGCACAAGAGGGGACATGCTAACGACATGGAAGATAGTAAGAAATCATGATACGGAAAATTGCGACATTAGACAAAGATATAATGTTCAAAGAAGTTTAAAATGGTGAAAAGGTGGTGCTCAGGTGCTGACACTCGACTCTGTAAGCATATTTCTGTGGGTACACACACACTCACACACAACTTTGGTGCCTTTTTCTGGTAACTGCCTATTACTGACTCAGTTATCTTTATCCTACCTACGTTATCCTTACCCTCTCTCCTTTCTCCTTATCTCGTCTCCGTTATCCTAATGGTTCTCTCGTTGTTCACATCGTCCATTGTTGTTGTGCCGTATCTCACCTAGAACCCCAGCCCAGCCGCTCGTGGTGGTGGTGGTGGAAGTGGTGATGGTGGTGATGGTAGTGGTGGTGATGATGGTGGTAGTGGTGGTGATGATGGTGGTGGTGGTGGTGATGATGGTGGTGGTGGTGGAAGTTGTGATGGTGGTGATGGTAGTGGTGGTGATGATGGTGGTAGTGGTGGTGATGATGGTGGTAGTGGTGGTGCTGATGGTGGTGGTGGTGGAAGTGGTGATGGTGGTGGTGGTGGAAGTGGGTGATGGTGGTGATGGTAGTGGTGGTGATGATGGTGGTTAGTGGTGGTGATGATGGTGGTAGTGGTGGTGATGATGGTGGTGGTGGTGGAAGTGGTGAGTGGTGATGATGGTGTAGTGGTGGTGATGTGGTGGTGGGGGGGTGGAAGTCGTGTGTGTGGTAGTGGTGGTGATGATGGTGGTAGTGGTGGTGATGATGATGGGGGTGGTGGTATGTGGTGGTGATGTTAGTGGTGGTGATGATGGTAGGTAGTGGTGGTGATGATGGTGGTAGTGGTGGTGATGATGGTGGTGGTGGTGGTGATGATGGTGGTGGTGGTGGAAGTGGTGATGGTGGTGATGGTAGTGGTGGTGATGATGGTGGTAGTGGTGGTGATGATGGTGGTAGTGGTGGTGATGATGGTGGTGGTGGTGATGATGGTGGTGGTGGTGGAAGTGGTGATGGTGGTGATGGTAGTGGTGGTGGTGATGGTGGTAGTGGTGGTATGGTGGTGGTGGTGATGATGGTGGTGGTGGTGGAAGTGGTGGTGGTGATGGTGGTGGTGATGTGGTGGTAGTGGTGGTGGTGGTGGTAGTGGTGGTGATGATGGTGGTGGTGGTGGTGAGTGGTGGTGGTGGTGGAAGTGTGTGATGGTAGTGGTGGTGATTGTGGTGGTGGTGTGGTAGTGGTGTTGGTGATGGTAGTGGTGGTGGTGATGGTAGTGGTGGTGATGATGGTGGTGGTGGTGGTTGTGGTAGAGGAAGCCAAGAGACCTGCTCTCACTCCTACTCCACTGTGTACAATACACACAATCTTACTGGAAAGAGAACTCCAATACAATTAAAAATTAAACTGACCAAAAACCAAAATACAAAAGATGATAATATTAATTTACGAAAAAAAACAATTAACTTGCGAGAAGGAAAACACAATTTCTTCGTAATTGCATTTTCTATTTTGAATAATAAATTAACTTTTCTGAATTAAAACCAATTTGAAACTACCTAATGAACACTGCAGGATGCAAATTAATTGAGCATTTAATTGAATTATTGGAAATTGATCTTCCTTTGTTTTTTCCTGAAGTTCACATATGCAAAATATCTGAAATATTTTATAGTGGTCATGAAATAATATTTTCAGAAGGAATATTATCTGTTGACGACAGTTATGATATGATATGATTGCTACGAATATTAAATATATTGTATCGTTGATATATTTTACTCTAGTAAATTTGGCACAAAGCAGGTTCACTACATGTGGCACTAGTGGTCTGAGAGTGCCATCATGGCACTGAAACTGTACCAAGCTGCTACAGTTCTCCCACTCATGCTTATCTCACAGACACTCACTTTGTAGATTTGAAATGATTTCATGTTCAAAGCGTTTTAGAATTCCTGTTATATTCGAGAGTCGACTTTGCGATGACATCCTTCGCCAATTTATACATATTAACTTCAGTTTCTAAATTATATATATCAACGTTTTCACGAACCTCAAGATCAAAGGAACAGAAGATCACTACAAACTCCTGTCATATTTTAATGT